TTCAAATAAAATATTTAATTTTATTTTATTATTTATAACAGTTGTTCGTGAAGAATATCAAAGATTTTGATAATAGCATTATTGAATTTAATACAAGAAAAAACGAAAAACAATACCACTGAATTATTCAGATGAAGACAGTAAAGAGGATAATTATTCAATGAACTGAGAAAATGTGTCGTCAGACAATGAAGAAATACTACAGAGAATTCCGTTTTTTATTGGCAACAGAAGTATTGGTAAGGTCACAAACTGGAATAAATATTTTTGACTCTTTTGAAATTTTCAAATTATTTTTTACCGATGATTATGGAACTGATTGAAAATGTTATTCAACAAACAAAATCATATGCAAATTTTAAAATAAATGGAAAAGAATTGTCTAAGTATTCTACCTGGAATAATTAAAAAAATGTTACTAATGATAAAATAAAAGCATTTCATGGTGTTATCCTAAATCTGGGCCTTATTCCTCTTAGAAATATAGAAAAATACCGGAGTCAAACTATACTTTATTAAAGAAATATTTATAGATATTCAGTATAAGTAACGGAAGGAAATTCAGAAAAAATTTTAAATCAACGCGTTTTTCAAATTAAGATCAACATTTTGTTGATGAAGAATTAATAGTACATTATTTTAATACAAGTCAGAAATCAAATCAAGATTATGTCAAATTTGTTGTCCAACTCATAGTTCCTTCGAGACTTTTTATCTGCTTGTTAAATAGAATATAATGTAAATCAAAAAGAATTTCAAATTAAAAATCAATATTGCAACAACTTTCTTTTGCAAATTGCAACAACCTAATCTCTATTGATTAAAAAGTGTAGAATTGAGCTGTACTGGTTATGACGAATAATTTTCTTGCATCTTACAATTACTCACAAAATTGAGCGTAAACAAATTATAAAAGTTTTATTTGTTTCATTAAACTTAAATGTCTAAAATTTTCTAATGATAGAATTATATTGCGATGAAAGTCAAATATGTTATTTAATAAGAATAATACTAACTGTGTAAAACACAAAGGAGGATAATTAACCCTTTGCACTCGAGAGGTGAGTCTCGCTCACCAAACTATTCAACGCTACAACTCCAGAAGTGACTCTCGTTCACCACTTTGTTTGGTGCGGAAATTCGATGCAATTTACAAGAGTACTGGTCACGGAATGATATCAGTTACATTCCTTTTTATTCAAACAAATTTATCAGAGACAGATTTAGCTAGATTTTTTGGATGCATCATCTAAAAACAATCCAAACAAAAGATACAGGTCAAAGACCACGTTTACAGATAGTAAGCTGCTTTCTTGACTATATAAATTCTAAACTTTTGAAGTATTTTACACTGGGAGAAGAAATTTGTGTGGATGAGCCCACTATCAAATTCAAAGGTCGAATTTCCTTTATTACTTAAAACCCGAAAAAACCAACTAAATGGGGTATTAGAGTTYACACAAATKGCAGACTCAAATATTRGATATATCTGTAATATTTTTCCTTATTATGGAAGTCTTAYCACGGAGAAATTTATAAAATCAYTAAAMAACAGAGAGAACAGYCGYTTAATCACTTGCRGTATGTGAAAATCTTTATTTCGTCAATAGACTAGAGATTTTCGTCAAACACGTGTTCGAGCTTCGACTTCAACCTCCAATTCCGAAAACATCYGCCTAAATGGAAAGCTGYATAACATTCTAACAGGAGTTAGGAAGAATTGCAAAGTCTATTCTCAAAGATATAACCCCGGCAAAAGATTTTAAACAACATACTATTGTGATACTTGTCCCGAAAAGCCTGGCAATTGTTATTACATGAAATATCATACAAAGCAAAATTACAAATTTAATGTTTAAGATAATTATCTTCGTAAAGATGTAAAGATACTTTAAATATTAAAATATACAAATTTTATCTTTTCATTTTTGTGTGAAATGATTTTAAGTTGGTGGTGAGAAATTCACCAAAAATGCTGTGAAACGGTCTCGAGTGCAAAAGGTTAAGTCGCGAAATCATGTGACAACTAATGAAGTAATAAACTATTGAATTTGTTAAAACAATTGTAGAAAAAAATAATAAAATAATACAGTATTCAGAAAAGTAATTTAAAGCATTTAGCTGAAAATTTAAATATATAATATTAAAATACATTATTTCCATTGTGATAATGACCATTAACCTTTACAGAAATAAAAAAATAAAATTATAGAACTAATAGAAAATATCTAAATTTCCAATACTAAAAACCAAAAAGTCGAATTTATGATAAAATTTTTAAAAGTTGTTACACGTGGATATGCAACAAAATATTAAAGTTAGAATTGTTATTGTATGCAAATATGTTACATATGCGTTCAATTTTGTAATAAATAAAATGAAATACATTTGATTTATTTTGATTAATAAAATTAGATAAATGTATCATTTATTTTCTTATAATTGAGTAAATAAAACTATTATAGTACGTATATATTCAATTTAATGAATAACTGTATATCCGATTGAATTAAAAATACTTCTAACTTTCGTCAATATTTAAGAATATAAAAAAGAAACTAACGAAGCACAATGCATTCGCATAAACATTCTGTAGCAACTATCTGTCCCAGTCACATTTGACCATTGATGGACAATTTGACATTACGTACTTAATAATAATATCTAAATCGCTGAGCTGGTGGTTAACCTAAAAATACTGACTCTCCATTGACGTTTTTCTTCTTCCTGACGACGTTGTTCTTCCAATTCCTCGGGATTCGTAAAGTGGCGATTACGACCTTTGTGATTGACAAATTTCCCTGAAATCAAAATAAACAACAAAAATAAAAATATCTTTAGAGGTTGAGATGTTGAAAAGTACGTGTATTTTACTCTTGAAAAAAAATGTGGTGAGAAAGAATCGAACAAAGAGCAATTAGAAATAATATTCCCTTACCTCGTGGCATTATTTATATTTATAAAACTAATGGCAGCTTAAATATAGTATAGATATCAAAATTGGTTGAGTATTCAAATTTCTTAGATTATAATCTACAATTACGTCAAGTTTTGATCAGATTAACACATCGATGATTATAAATTCAAACGTAGACTAACATAACTAATATGAATAACTACGTAAATTAAAAAACACGCCGGTACTGTAATATCGACTATGCTTAGAATGGATAAACGCAGTAAAATACTTGTACATATGTATTCACTGCAAGCCAATACAAGAAGAATTAATGCGTTACACGATTTTCGAAAAGTATTATGTATTATTCGTATGCAACGACTTTGCTTCGCATGGAGGGGTCTCCTGCGAGTCTCATTGGCTAGAATGGTTAGCTGTATCGTTACTCTTGCTTGACGTAACGTATTTTTTTTATTGGTGCAAAGGCTCACACCAATTTAATATTATGGAGGGCAGAGGTAAGGAGTATCATCTCATATGGGAGAAAATTTGAAACCGCGGTATTCATAGTCCGGTCTCAAGATAATCTTTAAGGTTATCTTAGCCAAGCTCGTCTTATAGCTTTTAAGACTACATGTATTCATAGAAATACATTAAGATGATCTTAGGTAAGACTTTTGTATCATGCGTGACTTAAGCTTAGCTTTGATAAGATGACGCTTAAGATAATCTTAATTTATATTCGTCGATTTTCGTAATAATTCTCATGTATCCGATAATTTGATTCGCTTA